AGGCACTCAGTGAAGAAAATATAGCGGCCATAGCTGAGAGTGTACACGAAGACTGTGGGGAGTCTATTCGGCATCTCAGTGAAGAAAATATAGCGGCCATAGCTGAGAGTGTACACGAAGACGGGAGTCTATTCGGCATCATTCGCAGCAACTCGGACTGACGTATGAACGACTTGGCGACATCACTTCGCTTCATGGATCTTGTAAAGTTGCAAGAAGATCCGGCGTTTTCGAGCCAAATTTTGTTCAGCGATGAGGCCCATTTCGAGCTCAAATGGAACATTCTTTCAGTGACTCCACTGGGCTTACTCAACCTTATGTTTTCAGTGCTACCTGGGAAGTGGGTTTCCATTAGTAGACCTAAGATTCTTCACTGGATACCGTTCAGCTGTGGTCTGGATTCTGTAGGTATCCAATGCTATGCACTGATTGTGCCATTATTTTCCTAAGTCGAGACGCTTCCGCCGTATTCTCAATCTCATTACATAAAGAATTTCTGTTTGCTTTCATAACCTCTTATTAGAGGTTGTAAGAACTATCCCACTCATCTTCGCCTTGGAATAATTTAGCAGACTAAATTGTCCTGTAATCCTTCTTTAAATTTTGAGTTCGTAGACCACCATGGTGGCCTAGTTCTTCCCCTTTACGAATTATTGGACAAGCCACCTCTAATGCTTGCCGACGCGATACTGTAAATTGATCAACGAGGATGTTTGATAAAATTGATACTAATTTGCACAAGCCATTCACCACCTTCACTTTACACCTGCCTTTAACACTAATTCCGAATAAAGCAAAGAAAATGTGATGAAAAAATTTACAAATTTAAAATTTATTAAGATCTTTTAACACAGTTAAATTGAACTTTAACAAATTAAGTTAAAGATTCAGCAGAGAAAGAGTTGAAACATGTTCACTTCGCAGGTTTACGATGACGGCGATCAATCGAAAAGTTGCGCGCAGGGCTTTCGTATCAAATGTTGACTTGGCGCTCAGGCCTTTGACAAGACGGATGTGTTTAGCGAATGATATATAGCGAATGTGATGGCTGTCCTCTTGTCCATCCTTTTTGTTGGTGGCGATGTGTGCTGACATCTGTGTAGCGTTCTCGATGTTGAGTGCAGTGTGTGTGTTAATTAGGGTGTGCCAGTTTACCGAGTAGAATTGTGTGTATATGTAGATCTCTCTCCAAAAAAAAGTGAGGAAATATAATTAAGTACCTGCAAGGTAAAATTTTGCAGCATATTTGAAAATTCTCGCGCAATCATACTGTGTAAGACCTGCTCCTTAGAATCAGTGCCACGTGGCAACACCGCTTCCAGTTCCTTTTCATTTGTGAAACTCACTGAACTCACTGCGCCTCCGTCGGCTGCATCATTATCATTGCTTCTGACAAATTTCACGCCATCTATAATTTTGAGAACCTTTGCGGTGCGCAGCACCCGCTGCAACCCTGTTAGTAGCTTCACCTGCAGACACACGGAAATATTATCCTGCGCGCATTGCTTATATATTCTGTAGGCATGTGAGAGGTCACCCCAGAAAGCTAGGGAGCTACTCGCACCGGAGCTGGCCGGCGAGTTCGTGTTTTCGTCGTCTTTAGTCTGACCCGCGACTAGCTGTTGAGCCGTCGATCCAGTGGCTGTGCGCGATGTCACATTACGAAAGGTACACGAAAGGATGAACAGCGATATCAGCAGCCAAAATGAATGGCTTAGCATGGTTGTGTGTGTCTTTGGTGGGCCTGCTTAAACACTTTGGAAATGCACATGGAAAACGGTTGAACATGCACTCTTTTTTTCCTGCCGTGTGTATCCTTCTACGTGTCCTTTTGTTCGGCAGTATTGGAAGAAATAAAAGCTTTGAAGTAGTTGCTTAATGTCCGCTATAATTATTGATTAGGTTTTTAAGATTTAAATGCCATCACTGCGGTGTGGCTCAAGAACGGCTACTGATATGCTCTACAGAATGTAAAACTATTTTATACTCCACTTAAGGTTTCATGGATCAAGTTGCATCGTTTCATGTCTGTAGTAAGATGGAAAATTCGTGCAAAAATTTGAAGCTGTGAGATTAAAAATGCTACTTAGTTTTTCCAGTTGTTGGTGAAATGAAAAATCTAAGAAGCACAAAAACACACTTAGAAAAAAAATTGATTTAAAGATAAATTACATACAGTAAAAAGTAATAAAAATTGTAACATAATCTGTGCTTAGTAAAATGAAAAAGATTTTTCTTATCTTTGTTAGAGAACTGTTCTCAACTCGGAAAGTGTACAAATTGGGTTTTGATTTCTAGTTCATCAATAAATCTATAGTCTTGGAAAATACTTTGAAAAGACAAACGAAATTCGAAATTTTATTAAGAGAGAGAATTGAAAAAATAAGGGAACTCCGTTGAAAACTAAAATGGTGGGAAACTTAACTTTTGCTGAATATACTTCTTGAAAAGAGTTAAAGCACTCTTGTATACATGCAAAACTATATTAGTGATCGCTTCACCATTTCTATGTTCGCTCGACTCTTGTCAATTTCATTTAATGTTAAAGCAACAACAAAATTGGCGAGTTAAATTCGGTACAAGAGAGTATGCGGATACTTCATGAAAACGGTATTTTCTGTTAAGTTTAAGAACTTCAGATTTGAGAATAAGCTTTACAAAAATGTTTTTCTTCGAAGAGAACCATTTCTCTAGCAAATAACGACGGGCCACACAATTGCCCATGTGTGCAATTACGCAGGGGATACGCTAGCTCGAGGTCGCATCTCAAGGGCTGCTAGTCTGTTTGAACATCCGATTTAGTTTGTTTTGTTCCCTACTCGCTAAGACTTAATGCCTCAAAGATATTTTAAATTATTTTCTGTGCACCAAGCTTCTTCCTCTATTAATGTGCAATATTTTAAACTGCAGATCCACACGCACGTTTTACCCATTACTCTTTAAGCATTTTCGCTCAAAGCGTGTGTTGTTGTGGCTTTTATAGCATGTTTATATGGCTAATTACACAAAATGATGTGAGTTTTAATTGCGATTGTTCGTATTTCACCACTGGAAGAAAATTGTAAACGTTCTAAGCTGTTGCACTTTCATGTCTGTCCAAATGTTGTGGCAAGAAAATGCAGCACGCGCCGAACAAAAAATAACAGTAAAACACTTACATGTAATTAATAATATTGTCTGAAAGTATGCTGTTCAGTAGATAAAAATAAACATAAAAAATATGCCAAATTCACTTTGGTGGCTCGCATATATATAACTCACATACATATGTATGTTGATTGATGGAAGGTGCTGTTCATACTACGCTGCGATTCAGACCGCAAATACTTATCAGAGTGCATCATCGTAAGAGCACAAGTGCAGCTGCCCTCATTCAATAGTGCATTTACAACCTCTTCCAATTGTTTTGATTATGCTTAACAACTTTTCTGTGCTTTCCCGCTTTTGGCCAGACCGAGCCGTTTAGTGGTCACAAATAAAGTGTTTCATTTTAATTATTTTTAGTATAACTTTCCTTTTACGGGACCGAAAGTACTTTGCGCTCAGAAATCGCAAAGTGAAATTTAATAAAAATGGTCATGGCCACGGCCTTGACACGCCAAATATTATAAGTTTGGTAACTTTTTTAAGACTATTTATTTTAAGATTTGCTCTTCAAAGTATTCAAACGAGGAATAAGTAAGGCTTATTCAATTATGCAGTGATTTTAATGTTTGTTACGGTTTTTCATTTACACGAAGCTGAATCATTTTAAAAACGATGTTTTTTGAGAAATCAATTAGAATTCTATTGTAATTGTGTATGAAAGCTGATCAGTTGATGAGAACAGCTAATTCTCAGTTCTAAAACAAAGGGATTTTACTACTTCCCTACCTTCATTCCAATAATAGTCATTCAGTAACGCCGCTCAAATGCGGTAATATCCTGGTAAAAACGCTCTACTTGTTCTGGGAAAAAGGTTAGCGGAGAATGCACGACAAGTATTCTTAAAGGCATGGTAAAACCCAACTTCTGCTAACTATTTCCACATTGTTAGAAAACTTGTTGTTCTCATGAAAATTTTTGGACGCCTGTAAGAGTGAGTGCCTGGCCTCCTTTTCTAACTAGTTCAAGTATAATAAAAATTTTAGATATTTGATATGCTGCTTTCATCTGTCATAAATAAATAGCGTCTTTTAGTTTTCATTTAAAATTTCTTAATCAAGCCCATAAAAAGAATAGAGAGTGAGCTTGCCAAAAGAGTTTAAATCAGGATACTGTACGACCTTTTCTTGGATTCCTTTATGCAAGACAGAAATAACAATCGATTCACCTGTCCGCGCACGCAAACAACTTGAGTAAAAATAGACATATGTATAATAGATAAAACTTGATACACATGTTCCTTGGACTCTCTGGTGGTAGATATTGTAGTTCTTATTATTCATAGTGTGATAACTCTTAAACGAAAAACGTTTACATCTTATATGAGACCCTTTTAAATTCCATTAAATTTTTTTAAATTTTGCTCTAGATAGATAAATAAATTTCCAAAGGTTAGCTCAAAAAGTATTCAAAGCACTTCAATCCTCATATAAAAATAGTCAAAATTGTAGTAGATGCCGAATATGAGAACTTTCGTGTCTATGGTTGACTCTATACCGAAAATAATTAAATTAATATTAATTAATAGTAATATTGGAAATGGATTAAATTAATGTTGTACTTTAACTAACTCCCATATTCGTATTATAAGGGTTTCAAATTTTCGACTATATTGCAAATTATAATTAATGAATGTACAGTGAATGTAAGAATGTGTTTAAAAGTTGGTGAAATCCGTTCATGAATTACCTCACTTTCTACATACATATGTATATACATTATCGTTATTATAGTTGTTCTTTTTTCTGTTTTATAATCAGAAAATCTCTCAGCCCTTAGCATCGTCATGACGGCGCATCTTTGTGGAGATTATCCCTGGTAGTGAAATTTGCACGGCTCATTGTGACTCTGAACAAGAAAGCTTCGTAATTTAAAATAATACTTATAAATTAATTAAAACGGGCGGTGTTGCATAAATGCAACAAAACGAAAGGGCTAAGTATAGGGGTGACCGAACATTTTATTCTCTCGCAACGTGCAAGGATCAAAGCAAGGGAAAACTGTTTTTGAATTTAAATAATATATCTCAACGGTTGACCGATATGTTCTGTAAGAAGTTCGCAATAATATCTGACGACCACATATTCGCTATCTAGGCGCTTGAATAGTTTTGGTCCAACTTGGTCAAAAGATGACAAAAGGGCGGGGTTACTCCCACTTTTTAAAAAATCTCTCATCCATAGATGTCCCTAGCTAATGCAATTTCTTGTCCTAAATGTATATGTTATTGTGGAGCTTAATTAGCGATTAATGACGTTTTGTGGGTGGCCAATGGTCCGATTCCATCTATTTGCAATACCATGACACAGGAACATGTGTACCAAGTCAAGATATCTCAATTTTTACTCAAGTTACAGCTTTCACAGATAGACGGACGGACGGACGGACAGACAGACAAGCACTCGGAGTTCAACTCGTCTCGTTTTCCCGATCATTTATATATATATAATTTGGGTAATACAAACAACCGTTAGGTGAAAAAAACTATTATACTCTGTAGCAATATGTTGCAAGAGTATAAAAATAAAATAAAGACACAGATTTGATAAGAAAATCTTACTAACTATTAATACTTATTCACTGACCTTTTACTCAGTTTTTTAAACAGAAAAATGCTATTTTGTGCAACAATAAATCACTTATCATAAACAACTTTTAAGAACTCGAAACAAGTTTGTATTGCGATAAAATAGAAATATAGCCAGCTAGTCAGACTGATGTACAACATCGAGCAATGGCGGTCTATCGACAAGTGCTAATTTGTGTATGAATATTGTATCATATAAATACATATGCTTGTATATTGGAACAGGTGTGTTAGGATTGGTGTTTGTACATATATAAATATGTATATGGACCATTGTGTTTTCATTTGTTAATGATTAAGTATGCCAGATAATTTTTATATTATTATTTAATGATATTGTCAACTTATTTACAAAATATCTGTCCATCTCAGTTTTCACTTTTTTTCTTTTAAATGCAGCCTGGTTTATACTATGAAATTGTACGTCATATAATTTAATAGCATATTTTCAGGCTCGCTTAAGGTATGTAGGAAGCAGTGAACGTAGAAACTAAAGAAAGCAGAGAACGTAAGAAGTATGTATTAAATACGTTCTCCGGTGTTACCGAGTACAGTACGAAAATGCATGCTTCTAATAATTTGAATTTTTATTAACAAACTGCCTGTGATATAGTTTCCTCTAGTGGATAATGTACATCCTCAGACATGTCGTTAAGTGACCATCGAGACGCTTTTGCTGCTGTGGAGCCGAGTATCGAAGAAGACCGAATGAGCCAATCCGCCCATGCAGGATTTTGAGGAAGGATCTTGGTTGGCGGGCTTACAAAATCTAACTCGTGCAACAATTGAAGCCAAACGACCATCAAGTGTGTCGTTGTTTGGTAAATGGGCCCAAAACGAGATAGCCACCGATCCCGATTTTAACAGAAATTTTTGTTTATCGCTGAAGCTTACTTTTGGTTGAATGGGTACGTTAATAAGTAAAATTGTCGTATTGCAGTGATGATAATTCACAGGCCTTTGTTGAAACCTTGTTACATCTTAAAATATTCACTGTTTGGTATGATCTATGGGCAGAGGGCATCATTTTCTTTAAAAATGAAGCCGGTGCTGAGTGGATTATCTCGCGTCAGGGGCTGTAACGGGGCGGTATATGTGAAGTCGTTTGTCTACGCAGAAAAGCGCGAGAGGATTGACGCCTTGAAGGATAACATTTAGCACGTTGTTGCTGGCATACGGGCCCAATTGCTGCAAAAAGTGGTCGAAAATTCGGCCTCTTGAATAGAATTTATTCGAGTGAGCC